AACTTAAATAGTACTCCGAGGAAAGAGGAAAAGTAAAACTGAAATGGATTTGGAGTCGTTAGTGACAAACGAGTTCATCTCAAAGACACACACACACACACACACACAAGCCAAGAGTAGAGTGCATCTTTTGCACCCTGAGATCCCTGCACATTGAACTTCCTCAACCCAGGAGACAGCTTTGACCGAGGACTGGCAGAGCAGCAGCAGCAGCACCCGGATGCAGAGCACGAAACAGAGTTAAGGATTCCCAGTCCACAGAGCAAGTAGAGCCCAGCGCTGTGGGGCAGGAGGATGACTTGTGGAGTGAGGGGCTTCAGGATAATTACTTGGGGAGATGTGTTTACTGATCCACTGAGGTGGAGCTGGGTGCCTCCAGGCTGAGCCTTCAGGTGGAGTTGCCTATCCTTTGGACATTTATTAATTGCCCTAAAAGAGCTTTATAGCATTGCCTGAGCAAGGCAGAGGCCAGGCAGGGAGGTTGAGGGCTAGAGAAAGGCCAACTTGCTGGCACCGCAGAGAAGAAACTGTCTTGATTGAGCAACTTTATCCTGAGGTTTTCTCATCGGAACTGTCACCTGTTAACTTCCCTAAGAAGCCTCATAAACATGAGCCTTGTCTGTGAGTTCTAAGTGGCCACTGGGATGGATTAGTGAACCCATCCACAGAAGTAGAGTGCTGTGGGAGGGACGGTTGGCATTGGAATAGGGTGAAAAGGGAAGGAGGGATCTCTGGCCTCTGCCTCATGGCAATCAGCCTGGGGGTTGAAAGAGGTCCGGATGTGACCCCACAGTGTTTTCACATTCACATTGTCAAATGCTCTTGCAGAGGCAATAAAACACAACTAATCATCTTTACCACTTGTCTGTCAGTTTGTCATACCATGGTGACTTCTGTGTTGTGGTGATCCTAGAAGCTATGTCGCTGATATTTCAAGTACCAGCAGGGTCATCCAGAGTAAACAGGTTTCAGCACAACTTCCAGATTAAGAACAGACTACAATGAAGGAATAAGCTATCCACTTTGGAGGAATTAACCATGGAAAAATCTTATGAATAGTGGTAAAACATTTTCAGATACTGGAAACCTGATACATAGAAACAGAACATTATCAGAAATAGTGCCAGAAGATGAGGCCTTCAGATCAGAATTCACTCAAAATATGACTCAGGAAGAGCTCTTCTCAAAACAGAGTCAGCCACAATGACGTGACTAGAGGAGCGCTTGCAGGACCTTCATTTGCTGATGGGGCATGACTCAGCATGAACATGAACAGCTGCAAACGTCACTTCAAACTTTGAACTTGGAACTATGACGTATGAATCCAGGAAAATCGGAAGCAGTCAAAAATGAAATGGAACCCATGAAGATTGATATCCTAGGCATGACTGAGCTGCAATGGACTGATGGCCATTTTGGACCAGAAAATCCAATGGTTTACTGTGTCAGGAACGACAGACTCCAGCGGAATGGCATCACATCGTCATCAAAAAGGGCATGTCAAGCTCAATCTTGAAGTATAATGGTGTCTATGTTGGATAATGTATGTGGATAATGTCTACACATACACGAAATCCAGTCCATAGACTATTATTCAAATTTATGCAACTACTACTAAAGCTAGTGATACAAAAATTGAAGAATATTACTAATGTCTTCAGTCAAATTGATCAAACATGCAATCAAGATGCTTCGATAATTATTAGCCGTTGGAATGCAAACTTGAAAGCAAATCTGAAGGAACAGTAGTTGGAAACTATGGACTCGATGACAGGAATGAAGGTGTTGTCCTGGGAGGAGATCAATTAACCAGATGCTACTTTCATCAAAGTTAATAAGCCTTTATTAACTGTCTGTCTTAATGCTGCTGGAGCCTAATTCTCCGAAGACCCAGAGTGCTTAAAGCGGGAGCTTTGATACGAGGGAGAAAACAAGCAGGAGGGCACAGGGCAACATTACATTGTATGGAGAGAATGGAACTTGGAGACAAAGGAATACGGGCCAGGTGGCGACTCAATGTGTGGGAAAAGGGGAACTTGGAGCAGGGTTTTAAACACTTCTCAGGACATTTTAAAATGGCATGGTTTGTGGGAAACAGAAAGATTTCCCCCAAGTTGTCTCCCCCAAATATACGTTAGGCTTAGGACACTGCTTGCAGCTAATGGTAAATGATTGTCAAGTTACCTCCCTGAAGGCAGTCAATTGCCATACTACTGTCTGGTCCTACCACAAGTAGGGCCCAATCCCTGCTGTTAAGGACAATGGGCTACTTCTCCCTAGGCTTGTGACAATTAGCCTGGTCCCTGTAGGCGGGGTTTACACCATACTGATAATGGTTTCTATGGAGATCCGGAGAACAGGTCAAACCAGCTCAGTGACATCCAAAGTTAGGCTGCCATCCTGAATCTAGGATCCACCCATCTTGTCACATGTGTGCCCCCAATCCCTCCTCTTCCTATTGCATGTATATCCCTAGATTGTCCCCCACTCATTGCTATATAACCTATAGTACAACCCCTTCCTGTGACTATGTCTTTACTTGTAATTAGTGGGCTGTCACGCCCCCCCCACAAGATATATAAGCCTTGGTTAGCAATAAAGATCCCCCTTGGCCGCTGGTCGGCTTCCCCTTCCTCTCCCCCATCCTCGCTCCCCTATTCCCTACCCTTTGTCCTCCTTCCTCTCCCCCTCTCTCCACGTAGACCACCAAGTGAAGCTGAGGTGAGCATGCTACCATGAAATGTGTCTGACTCCATTATTTCAATCTCTCTTCTATCTCTCATGCTCTCTCATGCTTTATTATAATCTGTATATATCTCAACTGTACAATTGCACCTATCGAACCTGTGATTAGTTGTGGGAGGCTGGCCTTCCCCCCACAATGGTTCAGCAGTTACAAAAAACCAGTTACAAGAGGCTTTACAGAATTTGCAAATTGGGCTCACTTGTATAGTACAAAATGGCTATACTCAGGCTAATTAATACCATATGGTTACATTATTAAAATGGCTACATCTAAATTGGCTACTGTATCATGGTTACATTGGGGTTCATTGTGGTTGGTAGAGATCACATGATAGAATTTTGCAAGATCAACAACTTCTGCATCACAAATGTCTTTTTGCTAACAACCCAAAAGGTGACTATACAGGGGGAATACACAGAAGTCAAATGGACTACACCCGTGAAAAGAAATACTGATGCTCAATATCAGCAGCTACAACCAGGCTGGGGCCTCCCTGTAGGAGAGACCTCCAAGGGGTGTGCAGGTTGAAGTTGAGGAAAATTCAGACAAGTCCACAAGAGCCAAAAACGACCCTGAGCACATCACCCCGGAACTCTCACAACCTACATCCCCCCGGAACTCTCACAACCTCTTGAGAACAGGTTTGACACCTTCAACACCAGTGACAGACAGCCTGTTGGGCTATGGGAGGGCATCAAGCACCTCATCCGTGGAGAAAGCAAAGGCAGAATCCAAAGGCAGGACAGAAAGAAAAGATCCAAGTACGTGTCCGAAGAGACTCTGGAATTTGCTCTTCACTGTAGAGTAGCTAAGACAAATGCAAGACACGATGAAGCTAGAGAGCTGAACAGCACATTTCAAAGGGCAGAGGAGACAGCGAAGTCAAATCTTATAATGAAATGTACACAGCCCTAGAGTTAGAAAACCAAAAAGAACGAGCAGAGACCTGAAGAAAATTCCAAGCCTTGAGGGCCGTGCACATTTCATTATATTTAACTTTGTCTTCCCAAGCTGCCCTTGGAAATGTTCTGTTTCATCAGGTTTTCGGTAACTGACAATGTTTCGATGCTCTCCACAGGTTTCCAGTGGCAAATTCCTCCAAAAGGACAACCTATTCCTTCCCTGTAGTCTGTTAGTCAAGAAGCTCCGCTGAAGCCTGTTCACTTTGAGTCACCCGATTTGTATTGGAAATACCGATGCCATAGCTCCCAGCATCACAGCAGCACACTAGCCACCACAGTGGGACCAACGGACAGACAAGTGTGGAACACTCTCATATGTACTCCAAATCCATCTGGTGTTCCTCTTCACCAACTACCCGAGTCTCCTTGCTTGCTGCCTTTGTCTCCCAATAGATGTTTTTTCCCTTCCCACGCTTCAAGTTTGTCGACTCTACAATCGTCTCCTGTCTCTCTCTAGGATGACAGGCAAAAGAAAAGAGACTGAGAACTGCGCAGACAGCTGCTCACAAACATCTTATGGTAGATAATTGGGTATTAATCCTATACGTTTCCCCAATATACCGAATTCTTAAAAAATCACGGATCCTAGGAACACCAGAGGGGTGTCTGAAATAAAATATTACTTATTGTTAAGGTCTCCTAGGAATAAATAAATTTCCATCCAAGACAATTTTCAAATATCCACCTATTCATGGTAGAGCATCTATGATGGAGAAGCTTCTGGAATTTATCCTCCTCCTCTTCTTCAGCATTTTTCTTATTAAGAGAGATCTGTAAACAGTTGAGAAACAATTGAGGAGCGAGTTACCAGAGCTTTGCTTAAACTGCATCAGAGGTTCATATCCAAAGCTTCAAACAATGGAAGTATGAGGACAGTTTTTTCCAGAACCTGAATGAAAAACAGGTCTGGATGTCAGTGGCAGAATGTGAAGTGATAGACTGTGACCCTATCCCTGTCACACAATGCCAAAATACAACCAAGCTCAAAATAGAACAGGCATGGAAATATGGGCAGTGTGTTCTGGGAGAGCAAGAAGACAGTGAAGAAATAGTTTTTTATTATGGCTTTCGACACTCTCATATTTTTCAAACTCCAATCTCTCCAGCAAAACATGCTTTTGTTTTTATTGCTAATCGCCCCTTCTCTCTCAAATGATATTTCACACATTTTCTTTTATTCTTCTTCATAGAGATGACATTAGTCCAGGAGAAAAATACATATATAACTACAAAAGAACACAGAAAGAGCGCTTCCGGGACCCGACCTCTTTTTGTGGGCTGGGCGAACGTGCTGAAAGCACCATTCGCACTCTTTTCTCATCATTTTAATGTGAAGACCGGAAGAGTCCTTCACCAAAATCGTTCGGCGGGCACTTCCGGAAGCTGAGACCAGGGTTCCGGGAGAGGACTGGGGGGAAAGGGGAGAAGCGGTAGTGGCAGCTGGAGATGAAGAAGGAGCATGTGCTGCACTGTCAGTTCTCCGCGTGGTACCCCCTGTTCCGAAGCCTGACTATCAAGAGTGTCATTCTTCCACTTCCTCAGAATGTGAAGGACTACTTACTTGATGATGGAACGCTGGTGGTTTCCGGAAGGGAGGACCCACCAACTCATTCTCAACCAGACAGTGATGATGAGGCAGAAGAAATTCAGTGGTCGGATGACGAGAACACAGCCACCCTGACGGATGCATACTGGATAGCCATGAATAGCTCTCTGAAATGCAAAACGCTCAGCGACATCTTCCTGCTTTTCAAGAGTTCTGATTTCATCACTCAAGACTTTACTCAGCCATTCATTCATTGTACTGATGATTCTCCAGATCCTTGTATGGAATATGAGCTTGTTCTCCGAAAATGGTGTGAATTAATTCCTGGAGCTGAGTTCCGATGCTTTGTCAAGGAAAACAAGCTTATTGGTATTTCTCAGCGGGACTACACACAATACTATGATCATATTTTTAAGCAAAAGGAAGAAATTTGCAGATGCATTCAAGACTTTTTCAAGAAGCACATACAATATAAATTCTTAGATGAAGACTTTGTATTTGATATATACCGAGACAGTAGGGGAAAGGTGTGGCTAATCGATTTTAACCCTTTTGGCGAAGTAACAGATTCACTGCTTGGGAAGAACTGATATCCGGGAAAAACTTGAAAGCTGATGTTAGTGAAGGGGACGCCCTGGAGCAGGATTCTCCAGCTTTTCGCTGCACAAACAGTGAAGTTACAGTACAACCCAGTCCCTATCTGAGTTACCGACTACCCAAGGATTTTGTAGACCTCTCTACTGGTGAAGATGCTCACAAACTAATTGATTTCCTTAAACTGAAAAGGAATCAGCAAGAGGATGACTGACTCCAGTTACAGACCAGCTTCAGGAGGAAACCATCCCGACTGCAGGAGGCTGTGCATAGGACGTACTTCCCCTTAGCCCTGATCTGAGGGGGGTGGGGGTAGGCAGTGTGGAAACCAGCAGCTTTTTATATTCATGGGCATCCAGCTGGAGGAAAATGGGGGGACTTTGCTACTTGTAAACAAACATAATAAATAGATCATAACCATAGGGAAAAAAAAAAAAGAACACAGAAAGAGTTGCAGAAGGAAATAAATCAAAATTGCACAAAGGAGATTTAGTTGTTTTGATGTCCCAAGATACCAAATAGACCCACTTGATGGATGATTGGATCTGTTGAATGGCCAATCCCTTCAGTATTTCGGTCTTTCTGATATTTCCTTGAAACATGAAAATAGGCTGGGATTCTTCTGTCTTCTATGGTAGACCTTCATTGCTCGACGCCACATTTCTGGTAGGTGTTACAGTCAGGGCCAAGATCTCATCCAGGATGTCTGGCTCCAACTCTCAAGCTCATTCCATTGGCCTAGCTCGACAACCTTACCCCAAGAAATCTGCTTGAGGGTCTCAGCACCTGGAGTTCACACTGGTAGGGATTGGGATGGGACCCTGCTTTGAGGTTAAAGGGAGGAGGATAGCAGTTGGCATATGCAGCCTCTTGGTTACTACCCATGATTTGTTGATGTTAATCAACGGCTTTCTCTAGCTCCTCTGCTCTTGCCAGTTCCATTGTTTCACTAGGCAGTGCATCGGCATGTCCCCTGCGAAGAGTTGTGGGGTGAGATTTTCGACCCTTTCTATTCTTTTCTGCATCTCATTTCTGGTACCAAACTCCAAACCAAACTCACTGCCATTGAGTCAATTCTGACTCATAGTGACCCTAGGCCAAAGCAGAACTGCCTCTGAGGGTTTCTGAGACTGTAAACCTTTGTTTGTTTGAGATGAATTTGTTTGTCACTTGTGGGGGGACGGCAGATGCTTAGACATTCTCCCTTAAGGCAATCGCTGTCAGGTTGCTGTCTCACCCTACCACAGGGGTGGGCCTGCTCCCTGCTGCTGGGGACAATGGATTACTTCTCCCTAAGGCTTGCGACCATTAGCTTGGTTCCTGTAGGTGGAGTTCACACCCTACCAATAATGGTCTGTCTCTATCAGTTGAGTCAGGGAACAAGTCAAACTGGCTCTGTGACATCCAAAATTAGGCTGCCATCCTGTAACTAGGATCCGCCCATCTTGCCACACGTATACAGTGAACCCTCGTTTATCGCGGTTAATCGGTTCTACACCCTACCTTGATAAATGAAATTCCACGAAGTAGGATTCCTTATTTATAAATCAAATATTTTCGTAGTTAGAGCATAGAGGACATGAAAAAAAACCCTTTAGTCACCATTACACTCGTATTACCCAATTTATTAAACGAAAAAGAGAAAATACAGTAAAACATTTTGGATGTTACAATTATCATTTATTATATTATTTATGGCATCAAGCGTGTACAGTATGAGCCAATCAGTGGCAGTAATGACAGAGCATGCGCTGTTACGCAAAAACTGCGATAGAGTGAAGCCGCGGAAGTCGAAGCGCGAAGTGGCGAGGTTCATTGTACCCCCAATCCCTCCCCTTCCTATTGCGTGGATACCCCTAGATCACCCCCTCCCATTACTGTATTGCCTATAGCACAACCCCTTTTTATGATGCATGTCTTCCCCTGTAATTAGAGGGCTTGCATGTTCCCAGACAATATAAAAGCCTTGGTTAGCATTAAAGATTCTCTCTCTCGCTCCACGTGGACCACCAAGCGGAGCTGAGGTGAGCATGCTACCACGAATTGTGTCTGACACCATTTATTTCTATATTTCTCTTCTATCTCTCATCCTCTCTATACCTTTACTATAATCTTTACTTATTATCACTGTACAATTGCACCTACCGGACCCCTAATGATGTGCTAGGGGCTGGTTTCTCCTGGCAGTCAATAAAGACTCCTGGTCCATTTCAAAGACTAAATCTTTATGGAGCCTGACAGTGGAGCCAATGGTGGGTTTGAACCTTGGACCTTGCAGTTAGTAGTCCAATAGAGTTACCAGAGCTCTTTAGGTACTAAATATTGGTAGTTATTTAGTACTTTTAATGCCAATTGCTGCTTCTGCCTTTGGCCTAGGCTTCCTCAGTGTGGATACTGGCACTCACCAAGATACTTTAATCTTTCCTGATCTATATTTAACATCTTGACTCCTCACTCAGATAGATATTGGACATGCCTGGTGACTAGCTGCTAATTTTGCTAAGGCACCTGCCTGATTGCTGATCTTTTACTCAATAAGCAAGCATAGACCATCTACTTCATGTACTGTGGAAATAATATATTTTTTACAAATTTATCCGGAAAAAATACTTTCAGAACTACGAGTCATTTCGTGACTAGGAAATCGAATGTTGTTGCTATTGGTAGGGGCTGTCGAGTTGGTTCTGGTTCGTAGTGACCCTCTGTGCGACAGAAGGAAACACGGCCCAGCCCTGCACCGTCCTCACATTTGTTCTCATGTCTCAGTCCTTTGTTGCAGCCACTGTGTCAGTCCTTCTAGGAAAAGGCCTTCCTTTTTTTTGCTACCCCTTTATCCAGGAGCCCTGGTGGTATAGTGGTTAAACTGCAAGGTCAGCAGTTCAAAACCACCATGTAGCTCCAGGAAAAAGACTGGGCTTTCTACTCCCGTAAACACATAGGGTCTCAGAAACCCAGAGGATCGCTGTCAGTATCGACGCAATGGCAGTGAGTTTTGAGTTTTGAGAATTACTTTATCAAGCATGATGCCCTTCTCCAGGGGCTGGTCTCTCCTGACAACATGTCCAAAGTATGTGAGACCAAGGCTCTTCATCTTTGCCTTGAAGGAACATTCTGGTTCTACTTCCAAGACAGATTGGTTTGTCCTTTTGGCCGTCTACTGTACTTTCAAAGTTCTTCCCCAGCGCCTTAGTTCAACTGTATCGAGTTTTCTTCCATCTTCCTTAGTCAGTGTCAAACTTCCACATGTATCTGAGCAGTGGTGGGATTAAAATAAGTTGACAACTGGCTTGCTGGCTTTATAATTATATAGGTATATCAACAGGTACTTTAGTATTTCATATAGTTAATACTTAACTAAAAACAATAAAAGAGATTCACAAATGATGTTATGTTATGAATTTTTAAATATTAATGTAAAATATTAAATAAGACCTGACAAAAACAGCTAAATTATTATTTAAGATATTGCTTCTTGGTGGGCATCCTCATGCAATATTCTTCGCTTTCATATGACCATCATCAGCTGTGTGCTTTATCCTTAACCGTTTTTTCACTGGAGGAGTAGCATCCCATTCCTTCAGAAGTAGATCAATTAGACAATAGTCACTGTGTTTGACATCTTAGAAACAGTTTGTCAACTTCTTTTCTCTAAACATATTATTATCATCTTTAAAAAAAACCTTTCCACTTCTGCTGAACTTACAGAAATTGTCTGATAATAGTTTTAACTCTTTGAACATGTTCAGGAATTGTGTATTTCACTCATAATATCCCGTAGGAGTTTGGAGGGACACAAACGGAAATGAATGGCAGCGTGCCTCCCTCTGGTCAACTGGCACTTTTTCTGTTTACAGTATAGATTTGTTTATGGAAGTAACAAATCCAAGGGACTATAAATGTAGTATTCTTTCTGAAATGATAAATAACTATTGAAAGCATAGTTTCATCTAATTTTTTATACCTATGGATGGAATGAACATTACCATGTGTGCTTAGAATACACTGTTACTCAGATGAACCTTTAAAAAGAGTAAGGGCTGTCAATTTGTGATTTCCACATTGGGTGGCTATCCAGCACCCACCTTCAAGAGAACCCTGATAACAAATGCCATGTAACCCCCAGTTTGCCTAACTCAGCAAAAACTCAGGTATTGATTCTGCTGAACTAGGCCAAACTCGCTGAACCCCACTGCTGCATATGAGATGATTGAAAACACCATGGCGTGAGTCAGGAGCCTCAGAGATCGTCAAAAGATTCATGGTCAAAGGGGGTTAACAGATAAAATTTAAAAATACAAACTTGATTTGTCAGCATAAGGTTCATCAAGTCAAAACGCTTTTTGTAAGCTGAATGAACAACAGATCTGGGTGCAACCTACAGAAAGAGAGCAGCCCTGTAGCTTATTCCTTAAGGGCTAAAAGTCCTGGGCAGTTCACACTAGGTTTACAGACTTTTCCTAAGTACCTATTTCTTTGGAAAGCATCAAATTGACACACAAACACTTTTAAAACAACATCATTATACACTACTAACTTGGAAATGAAATGATATATTTATGTATGTTTTACATTATTTAACATTATACATTTCAAATATTGGGCTCAACTTATTGTAAGGGTCTCTTGGACTGGTCAGTGTGACAATCTCTGCTGCATTGTTTCTCTTTACATTGGATGTTTATGTTCTAAGAACTTTTTTATTACATTTATATTTATTGCTGAATGGATGCTTTCATGAATGAAACCGATTTACTGGGATCAATACTCTATACATTCAAGTCAAATTGACGTGTATCCATAGAGATAGGTATACCACACAGAGAATTTCAAGGTTCGAAGAAAATGAACTTGGATATATATTTATCTTGTTAAATGGATAATGGTTAGCATACGTGTTAATGGGTAAATGTAAGCAGTTTTTGTAATTTTCGTTGAAATTGAAATGTGTCAAAACAACACATCCTGTAAACGTAGTGTTAAATATATCAATATTGTCTTTTTCAAGTTACCAGCTGAAGGAAAACGGGGGCCCTTTCAAGATTTTTATAATTAGGAAACAAAAAGTAGTTAGAGGAAGCCAAATTAGGACTGTAAAGCAGATGCCAAGTGATTTCCCATAGAAACTCTCACAAAATTGCTCTTTAGATTAGAGGAGTGGGTGGGAGCACTGTTAGCGGACGAGGGACCCTCCGGTGAAGCTTTCCTGGGTGTTTTTGTGTTGAAGTGTAGGCTACCTTTGTTCCAAGCACTCTCACAATAACCAGGTGTTATCTTTCTTTGGCCCTCCAGAAAGTCAATAAGCACAATGGCTTGAGCATCTCAAAAACGGTTGCCGTGATCTTTGCTTGTGACCAGTTCACTTTTGCTTTGACTGGACTACTTCCCTCACTTGGTAGCCATTGTTTTGACTGTGCTTTGCCTC